TTTTTTTTTTTTTTTTTTTTTTTTTTTTTAGGTTAATTACAAAATACCCCTGAACTATGGGTCCCATTTCAATCAAATAAATCCTTGTCGAATATATATTCAAGAAGGGGGGAATATATTTGGCACCAGAGGGGTGTGGGTGAGCTCTAGTCTAGGGTGGATGGTTGGGAATTCTCTCAATAATTTTTACTTTATTTGACTCAAAAAATGAAAGATGAGGGTAATTTTGTCTTTGAAAAAAAAAATTACTTCCCGTGTAAGTCATGTGATTAATTTTTGTTACCTTTTAAGAGTTGAAATTAACAGTACAAGTTAATTGAAACAATGTTTCTATTGAAATTAAAACCTGAAAGAGTTAACTGAAACTAAATCTATAGTTTAAGGGAATATTTTATAATTAATTTTTTCTTTTAAAGAAAAATAACAACTAGTGAAGTGGGAGGGATTAGAATTATAAATTCAAATTAGATGAGTAAATTAAGTTTAAATATTATTTTTCAAAAGAAAAGAAGATTGGTCCGTTTAAATTCGAGTTGACTAGACAACTTTTTCATCAGTTTTTGTCAGCACCAAGGAAAAATTAAAAATAGGGATTATCCAATTTTTTCAAAAAACACTTCAAACAATTCAAATAATTTTTTTAATTTTAATTTTTTCATTTAATTTTTTAAACCTCAGTTTTGCACAAAAAAAAAAAGTCAAGGGGATAAGTGGCTCGCTTTTTGAACTGATTGAATTTTTCAGGCTATATGGGGCGGGTTTGGTGAAGCCAGAATCGATCCAAACCAAGCCCACTACATCTTGTATTGGTTTAGGGCTAGACCCAGACAAAGGCAAACTTTCCTAATTCTAGCCTAATAAGTTCACATGGGTCGGGTCTGTGTCCAAATTGAATTACATCTTTTGAAAAAGGGCAAAAAACTTGGCCCATGCAGGTCTCGAACCTGCGACCTTCGCGTTATTAGCACGACGCTCTAACCAGCTGAGCTAATAGGCCAACTGCTCTATCTGCTGAAACTTATATTATTTATTAAAAATTATTGAAATTCATATGGTTCAACAATTTTGTCCATAAATTTATATCAAAATTACGATCGTACCAGTTGAAGTAGGTTTTGTTCATCGGTTTGGAATTTTCGATCGAGTCTTTGACAACAGAGTAAACGAAAGAGGAAGAACTGGTGAAAGAGAATGGCGAGATCGTCGGCTTCGAAGGACGCTCAAGCTCTTATTCACTCTCTCCGTTCTGCTTATGCTGCCACTCCAACTAACCTCAAGGTCTCTCTCTCTCTCTCTCTCTCTCTCTATATATATATATATATATATATATGAATGTATATATATATATTTATGTGTGTCTATGTTATAGATGTATGGCTATAGATGCAGTTTTCTATTGACAACCTGAATTTGGAGTTCGTATGTTTCAGATCATCGACTTGTATGTAATGTTCGCGGTCTTCACCGCTGTGATTCAGGTACTACGATTTTATCAATTCGTAGATCTGCGATCCTTGTTAATCTGTAGCTTACTTATTGTTGACTATGACTGGGAATTATGATTTTGGAAGTTGATCCATTTGGCAGTTTCAGTTCCTTATTATTACCTTTTGGAATTTTGACTAGATTGAATTTTTGTCTTGATTTTTCTAATTTTTCGTAATCTTTTATTGGGATCATTACAATGATTTATTGAAAAGTAGAATAGAGCTGAACTTGTGAGACGTGTTTTGAGCGAAGATTAACTTTTTTGGGGCTGAATATTTAGTTGTGATATGAGAAGTATGGATATGGATACAATACGATACGGATACAGATACAAATATATGGTGGCAAGTCTAGGATAAGTTTATAATAAAATATATTTTATATTTTACTATTATTTAACAATTTAAAAATTATAAATTTTACTACTACGTTACAATAGTAAGCAAAATTATCAAATTTCACCTTGAAAAGATGTAATATTGTCTCAATAAATTCATAAAGTGAATGTGACCAATTAAATGAATTAGAACTAACATTTAACTGGTTGGTTTGTTTTCAAATATTTGTTTGTAAGATTATAGTTTAACAAACTCATTTTTTTTATACTACTTATACATGTAATAGTAGATATACTTAGAAAACACTCGTGTTCTTCAAAATCAAATGAAATTTTATTTTATATTGTATGTGAACTCGAAATGAGAGGGTATAGATTAAAATTAAAAATTGTACATCTTTTTTCATGTGTAGAAGTATCCGTGAATTGTCCACATATTTTATTAATTATTAGACACATGTGATGCGTACCTAATACGTTTCCTCGAGTATCCAACGAAGATCATATTCGATACGATATCCGATACATGTACGTTGACTCTCACAAAGTACCCGTGCTTCATAAGTTGGGATCATGATTTTGTTAGCTTGGAATTTGATCATACTTAAATTAGGCTGCTTTGGCAGCATGGAATCCACCTTACATCAGAAGCAGAAACTCGGATTAGTGGAGTATTAAATACGGGGCTATTAGAAATTAAAAATCTAGCCAAATTTCACCCAAAATTAATCTTGATAAGTTTGAGCTGGGTGAATTCGGGTATAATGTTTCAGTCTTAATTGAATGGTCTTTTATGTTTCCTATATCTCTAAGCCTAGTCCCTTCTAGAATGCTCGCAGGGCTTGGTCTCTGGCAAGTTTTATGGTGAAGGTGTTGGGGGTATACTTGGCTATTGTTTTTTCTCTGTCTTTGACATATTCCTCATTTCTGTTGCCGATGAACAGGTAGTTTACATGGCCATTGTTGGATCATTTCCATTCAACTCTTTCCTTTCGGGAGTACTTTCTTGTATAGGAACAGCAGTCCTTGCTGGTAAGCAGAATGTTTATTGTAATTTTTTTTTTTTTTTTTTTTTGGGGGGGGGGGGGGGGGGGGGGGGTAAATTTGTTATTTTAATTTGCTCAAACAAATAAATTTTTTTAACCTAATTGTACCACAATTACCTCTTCTCAAAAATCAATTAATCAATTAAAATTGAAAACCCTTTTTACTAAAGAACAACCCTAAACTTGTTTATTTTATAATTAACACTCAATCTTTCACGATGATCCAACTCAATGCAACAAGCAATCGACCAAATCATTGTGTATGATATGAATGTTCAAACAATCAAATATGTTGTTTTGGGAGGGGAAACTTGATGTGGATCTTCTCCCACAATTATACATGTGGAGCTATAGACATTTTACCTAGAGGGAGGTAAATATGTTTTTTAATTTAACGCTCAATTGATTACTAATAAAAACCTAATTGACTTCAATTATCTCTTCTCACAAAAATTTGTCAATGAATAGTGAGAATCGTTTTAATCACCACAACCCAAGTTAACCATGACAATTGATTTTAATTAATCTTCAATTAATTCACTAACAATCAATTTCACGGTGATCCCAAAAATCCAAACTCAAATTGCACAACTATGGTTGAATAGAAAGTCAATCAATCAAGTCAATAAATACATAGTGTGTGTTAACATAAATGATTTGTCAACGCAGAAAATCCTCTTCGAAAAAAACTGTGGGGAAGATTCTCAGTTCACCAAAGTCTGATCTACTACACGCTAAGTCAACATACAAGTATTCGAGTCTTATACCTCAACCAATATCATGGTTAGATGCTATTTTCCTTGTTGCCTCTTCATTAAAGGCCGTCCTTCAACATCTAGTTTAGCTTCACTTAGACATCCCCACCACATGGTTTGTCTAGAACCCGATATGAACATACAAATGGGTTTGGTTTACACCATCAAGATATTGAATGCCAAGTTTTTAGGTTGGGTAGAATCTCTAATGGTTGCCTTTGAATTTAGGTATCTAGGTTAGTGATGAAAGCTCTCAAGGTAGAAGAAGTATTTTCTCTCTTAGAAGTCTCACAAGAGACTTAACTTGATTGTGGAAATGACACTCCCTGTTTATAGGTCCAGAATAAGGGTAGTCTTAATAAAAAAGAAAACTCTTATTCGCGAATGACTGCTCGATCGATGGGAGGGTGGTCATAGGACGGTTGGCATTGTAATGAAAATCACATTTTCATCTTGTCCAGCAGCAGCACTGCTCGAGCGACCATGAAGGACATCTCAAGCAAGCTTTGCTCTGTTCCTCCATGGCATTTTCCTGTCTAATTTTCTAAGTTATTGTGAGACTGCTCTAACCAAGGATGGTGAGCATAACTCGATTCCTACTGATTTTTGAAGCACAAAATCAAACAAAAAATAGTCATCTTGAGAACTAAAAGGTGTTGCTAAAAAAGGGTCCAACAATAGGTCAATATATGTTTTCAAAAACACAATTGTTTAAAAAATCTTTTATTTTGAAATCACCTAAGATCCATACATGAATTGCTTCCAATTTTTTTTTATCCTAATCATCCTAAGTTAAATGTAACTAAGGGTCCATTTTATGTGTCTAGGTCTCTATCTTTGTCTTAAGCATGAAAATGTATACGAAGGTTGAATGATGTTACTTTAATGTTTGATCTCTTCCCTTTAATGACACTTTTTGAATTTTCAACTTGATAGTATCATGACCAAGCTACAATTTATTCATTTTTTCTTTGCTCACCCTATTGTGATGGAGCGGTGTATAGTTTGGGCGGATTTCTTGGGTTATGGTATTGAGGAAATAATGGTGTCTAGAGGTTGGAGTGACTTTTTGAAGAGATTGGGTGAGGGAGCTACTCCTTTCATTCGCGAGTTCTACATGAATGCGAAATGGATAGATCCTAAAAGATTTAGGAATATAGTCAGAGGAGTGAGTTTTGTAGTGAACTCTATGGTAATGTTTAGGGTGGCCAAGGTGAATGTTTTACCAAAAACACATCACATATTTTGCTATAGTGTACAATATACAAAAAATGGCTAAGGAGCTCACATGGGATCCCCATTTTTTTGGCTTTAGAGAGATAGGAAGTTGAACTAGTGGCAGTTGACAAACAAGTACAAGATCCTAAATTGGATCTCGGTGACTAGCATGCTTCCTTTAGCCCAAAAGAATCAAATCTATCTAGATAGGGCTAAGCTACTGTATGCCATCAGATATGGACGTACTATCTGTTTGTCTTCTATTATTATATCAAAGATGCAGTGAGCTTTGCAAAACAATACCAGGAATGCATCCTTTCCCTTTGGGTATTTGGTGACTTCTATTTCCATGGATAGTGGCATTGGAGTGATTGAGGACATGTTGAAGGAGAAACACCCTAGAGTGTTAGATAATATGGCTTTGGTTAAGAGCCGTGGAGCTATGGGCAAAGGCGTAGCTCCAATTCCTGATGCTGATGAGCCTATTAAAGAGGTGGAGGCGGATGAGCCTACTGATGTTGGAGAGGTTGTTGCGGAGAAAGTAGATCCACTGATGAAAGACCCTGTAGATGGATGATTTGATAGAGATCTATGCTCCTCTATATTCTGGAGGAACAAAGACAGATGAGGGGTACTCTAGCAGAGCATGGCGAGATCTTGCGCCGCCTGCAGCTTGGACCACGAGATGGAGCTGGTTCTTCCACTTAGATGATCTATGTTCTATGTGTTTACCATTTTGATTATCTTTTTAATGTCTAGTTAGGTCAAATCCCCCAGTTGTATTTAGTTGAGTCGGGGCTTGACTTAGTTTGTTTTGTTTTAGAGTTTGTAATGAAAATCCATTTGACTGATATATGATGTGGTTTCATTGTACGTATTAATCTGCCAAATTATTTTGAATTATGTGCGTATAATGAGATTAATTTTTTTTTTTGGGAGTGGGAGTGGGAGGGGGAGGAAGGGGGACTTGAACCCTTGACCTCAAGAAGGTAAAACATTCACAAGGTAAGGAATNGTGGGTGGTGGGGAGTTGGAAGCGTGTGTGCCACGAGTACTACAGATAAGAAGAAAAAAAATCCAATACGTTCTGATGGGAGCCGAAGAATGGAGAAGCCATGAGTGAAAATATACCAAAAAAAATAATAATTGGTATATTTAGTTGGAGAGTTATATTAATCCACTGTAGTGAAAACTCTTATTCCTTAATGGTGTATTACTTAAAAAAAAAGAAGAGTGCATCAGGGTTTTCCCATGTTTAAGGCAACCTCTTTCGTCTTTTTTTTATACAATAATCATTGTTTTTCTTTTTATAATAGATTAGTCTGAAAATATTGAAAAATATTTTGGAGAATATTTAGTGTGATATGACTTTCTAGAAACGATGACTTCTAGCTTAAAGTAGGATTTGATGGCGAAAATCATTTTCTATCTTTTTTATAGTTTCTATATTATTTATAGTCTTTTGAAATCCCGTTTTTAACCTAGATAATCGTTGATCAAGATTGGCTTGACTTACCTGATATCTACTAACTTGATCTGATCTATCCAAATTTTTTTTTTTTTTTGGGTATCATCGCACTCTATCTTATTAAATTTGCACATAATATCTTTTTATTCCTTCAATCGTCAAGTAAAAATTTTAAGTACACATGTTTTGAAATGTGTTTTAACTTTTAAATGAGTTTGACTTTCAAATTCCTTAAAAGTTTTATGAAAGACTAATGTTATTAAGATACCATTACCTAACATTAAGGGGCGTTTATTTTGAGTATTAGAGTGGTATAAGAAGGTGGTATTAAGAAAATAGTACGTGAGACCCATCTTATACGTTATTTGTTTGATATTTTATAGTCAGTACTATTTTATGGATTGTAATATCGACCCGCTATGAACAGTAGTCACAATGCTTTGTAGAAGGTTTTAATAAATACCACATAGGGGGTGGTATTATATTCTTGGTATAAGTATTATAAATTAAAAAAACCGAAATACCTCCGGTACAATTCTTATATAAAAGTCTAGTTACAATTTTTGACTTTTTAAAGGTTAAAATCATATTTTATATTAGTTAGTCGCAATTGTTAACTTTTTTAAGTAGGTATTACACAGATAATATTTGTGATAAATAAATAAAGAGAAATATGAGATTATAGTTTAATACCGAATATGATATATTATTAAATTTAAGTGAAATGAATATAAAATTTTATAACACTTAAATTTTATGCTCGAAGCAAACATGTCCTAAAAGTATGAAACATAAATTCTCAAAGGAAAAAAAAAACCCCAAAAAGCCAATACGGGAGAATCTCAGCCGAACTCTTGGACACGTGTCCCGATAAGTGTCTGTGGCCCGAATTTCAATACACCCGCTCACCCTTTTTTTTTTCCTCCGATGTTTGGCGATGAAAAGCACGTGCGCTTCCGTCAACCAACTCTCTCTCTCCGTAGATAAGAGCCCCTCTCTGTTCTCTCTCTAGTTTCTACAGATTATGATGATCCTCGCTGCCTCTTCTTGCAGACTTTTCAAAACCACCAACACAGCTAGGGTTTCATCTCCATCTCCAAGAGTTGCTTTGACTTCGTTTTCCTTGGCTATTAAAGCGAGTGCTCGGAGGTTTCGGTGTGTAGTGTACTGTGCTTCGAAGGAGAGAGGAATGGCGGAAATGGTGGAGGAGAAAAAGGAAACTACGGTGGAGGCGGCGGTTGCTTCGAGCTCGGCTTCTGAGACGAGCGAGCTTGGTCACTCTCGTACATTCCTCGATGCCCGCACTGATCAAGGTCTCGCTCTCTTCATGCATTTTTTGTTATTTGTTTTTGTTTTTAACACATGCAAGCATTGATTGCTGAATTTCGTTTTTAATTAATGTACTGCTTCATTTAGTATACATGCTTGTGTATTTATGTATGTATCTGTGTAAAAGTGTGCGTGCACTGTTGGATGTTGGTCGTTGGAAGAGCGATTCAGTCCTGAACTCTGCGAATGATTGGGAGCTTGACGATTTTGATTGTGAATCCTGATCTCTGCAAATAGTTGGTAGTTTGACTAGTTTTGAATGTTTAGTTCTTAAATTACCGCAGCACTGGTGTCCCGAAGCATGGAATTTGTTTAATTGGTTTCTACCTTTATTCTTACATAATGTTCTTGACTATCTCTTTTTTTTAACCCTGTATTATTGATGGCATTGAGTTATTTTGCTAAGTGAGTTGGTAAGTTACATGTTGACGCTTGTTATACGATCCAAGGCCGAGCGATTGTGTGGATTTGACATTGTGGCAGAATCTCGGCTAATCAGTTGTTTGTATTTATGTGTTGGGGGTAATTAGAGCCAATTTTGAAGTATTGTTCCTCAGTATCCTGGGGATTTTGGAGAGTAAGGGGGATGCTAGATTTGATGCTTTCTTAAGTCCACTTTGCAACTATCTGTTGGAGGAGTGGAAGGCAATCTTGAATTATTGTCCTGCGAATGCTGTGTGGCTTTTGGAGAATGAGGATTGGGGGAATGGTATATTTGCTGCTTTTATGAGTTCACTTTGTTGTTTATAGTGACATAAGACGCACTTCACTTTTTTGAATTGAATTCAAAGAAGTAGAGTTATGTGAAAAATTGAGTTATTGGGTATTTTTGTCAACTATAATTTGCCCTTTATTTTTGTTTTATTTGCTGCCTTTGAAAGTTTGTAGCCTGTGGTATATTGTATTGTATTGTAATCTAGTTGAATCTGTATCTGATGCTTAATTTTGGAGTAGGCATTTAGTGTGCACATCCTCAGCCTGCACGCCATTTCACAAGTTGTCTAGACTGAGTAGAATCATTATCACAGTCTAATTAATGTTCACCCAGCATTACCATTTCATTACTATTTGCTTTCTCTTGCCTGGTTGTGTTTTTAAAGATGGTTGAATCATGAACTAGCTCAACAAATAATTGTTTCATTCTTTGACTATGGCTTACCCTTGCGTATACCTTTAAATGTCATTGTTGACTGGTGTCATTATTAGTTTCAAGTCGGAAGTTATTTTATTTACATGGACATTTAACCTGCATGATTTACTGTACTGTCTTATCTGAGATCTATGTTTGCAGATCTGCTTTTGGGAATCAGAAAAGAAATGGAAGCTGGAAGGTTGCCTTTAAATGTTGCTCAGGGAATGGAGGAGTTGTACCAGAATTATCGAAATGCCGTAAATTAATTACCTTGTACTCATGATGTTATGTACTTCCTTACTTGTTGTGAAGGCATTGGATCTTATAGTTATCGTAATACACTAAATTAATTACCTTGGACTCATCCTGTAATGTACTTTCTTAGGGGTAGCGTTGAAACATTGGGTTCTATAATTTTTAAAATGCAGTTAATTAATTACATTGGACTCAACCTGTAAGTACTTTCTTAGGTGTAGTATTTTGGGCACGAGGCTAGTGTTTCATTCTTAAGAAACATTTTTATGGGAGCATAATGCCTTTGAGCTAATATCTTGTCCCATTGAGGTAAATTAAAAAATGGAAGTAGACTAATATCCAGAAATGAAAAATCTATATTAGTTTAAAGAATCATTGTTGGAGAAGGCCAAGTTTCTGTAATTCTGTTTTGATCTACTACTCTTGTGATATTAAGTATAGCTATATTTCTTCTATGTTGTCCGAGAACTGAAACTGGCAAGTGAAATGTGCTCTTTCTCATCTCTTGTTATCTTGGGTTGAACACAATATGTTTCTTATCCATTTCCTTGTAATTGGAATGCCTCGTAACTTTCCCCTTATTAATTGTGAAGACACTGATGTAGACATAAGACTGGAAAAGTTTAATTTGAGCGATTACTTGTGCAAATTGTATATTTTAGAATTACTGGTGCTAGACGTGTCATGTATCCCATTCTTGGCTATCCTTTCTATCTGTTTAATGGGGACTTCATTTCAAAGTTGTGTGCTGCTCAGTGTAGTCCTTGCCAATATTCCCTGGATGATTGGGCATCTAACTAGATGGTTATGAATGTTCTTTCAATCAGTCTTCTGCATTTTTATCTCTAATATAATTTGAGATCCCAAATGCCAATAGGTGAGTACATTTAAAAGGAAAGGTGGCAGTTGGCTTAGTAATCAGCTGATTCTACCTTAAATTATTTTTTCTACTTGCCTTATTTTTGCTTCCCATTCCCATTTTCTGGACATTGCATACTGGATTTTGTTGCTTTTTTAAATGCCTTTATATCGGATTTTATAATGTTTTGCGCTTGGAGCCAGTTGATGGGTAGCTACACTTGGATATGTAGTGTTGGGATGCTTCAATTGTACAGATTTGATCTCTCGTTGCATAAGCATATTCCCGGCATGCATGCATTTTCCTGTAGCCTTTTTTGTGAGTGCAGTATGGATCCATACAATGGAATTTTGGGCTAGTGACCTAAAGGACCCAAGAAAAGAATTATTCTCAATGCTTCTTCAGTCATTATTTTCACACAGAATATGCGATTGCAATTATTTATGTTACTAGCATCTGCCCCATTCTTCCGTAATTATGGTGAAATATGCTCCCGTGAATTATCTTCTGAAAATTTTTGACAGAAGGTGTGGACTGCCCTGATAACTCTTTTTGTTTCACCCAACTAGTTCGCCTTTGAGAGAAAGTTGTGATGTTTTAAGAGTCAGCTCCCCATTTGTTTTTGAATTGATAACTCCTCTTGTTTGCTTTCTATTAATAGTATAACAAAATAAAGGGTAAAATCAAACAAAAGCTTTTTCTATTTCTGATGCATGTGCTTTGATTGTATGGCCTCCTTAATATTCCACTCCATTTCTGCTGGGTCTGGGATAAATCTGACAGTCTTTATGAGTTCCATAATTTTATGGATTCTTGATGTAATAATATCGTTTTTGTACAGTATTTATTGCTGGAGATCCCAAAAATTTAAAGCAACTATGATTGTATTGCACATCTATTCATAAGCATCCTTTAGAGAAAATTTTATACTGTCTAGGTTCCCATCCTCCATCTTATATTTTAACAGAGGCTTTATATTTTACTGGATTTTCTGTACATTCTGTAATTCTTTAGTATATTTTCACCTTTCAGGTTTTTCAGAGCGGAAATCCCAAGGCGGAAGAGCTTGTTTTGTCTAACATGGCTGTTTTATTGGATCGTATTTTCATGGACGTTAAGGTATCACTAGACTACATATACTCGGTTTATGTCTAAGAGCTGTTGTGTTGATTTGTTACCATCTTCTGCATGCATAAGTTACTAGTTATCAGCACATGCCTTTGTTCTCAACGTATCCATATTTTTCAGGACCCATTTGTTTTCTTGCCATATCACAAGGCCATTCGAGAACCTTTCGATTACTACATGTTTGTTCAGAGCTATATCCGTCCTTTGATTGATTTCAGGTGAGTCCCTGTATGTTTGTCATCTTTGAGAAGTTTTTTTGAGTGGTATTAACCTTGATTGAGTAGACTTTTATGGCTGATTGGGGTTGGCTTAGATGCCAAACCAGGTCCTAAGATGCTCTGCAGACTTTAAGTCACTTTATGTACTCCTGTGAGAATACATCATGCTATGGCAGCCCTTGTCTCCCTTAGGAGTGCAAGTTTGTGCCCGAGAAGATAAATTTTGCAATCATCATTCCAAACTGTCGAGACACTATTTCTTGTTCTCTTATCTTTGAAATCAACATGAGGGAAGTAGAGGAATGAGAGAATACATCTCACAGGATAAAAGATTATATCCTACCTTTGTGCAATTAATGAGAAATAATTTGCACTCAACCATCTATTTAAGTAGACTAGTTTTTTTCATTGATTTGGGGGGGGGGGGGGGAGAGAGAGATATGNAGACGCATGCAAAATATCATAGTGACCAACGACATTATATCTTCCCTATTTGATAAATTATCCTCAATTTTTTTTTATATACAATTGTACAAGTGCTCTCAATTATTTTGCTGTAAGATAATCACTCGTACTCTAATCCAAAAGTATTTTTTTACTATTTCAAATATTCAATTTCTTAATAAGACGGATGATGATTTCAACTAAGTGTCACCAAAAAATGAGAGATAATTTTGTCATGGACTTGTGAGTGAGATTTGAAAGAATATTATGTTCCACTTTCATAAATGATTGGGTTGAAATGCCTTTTGAATTTTTTTTATATCTATTTTGTTTACAAAACAAGAAACTGGTTTTACAAGTTTATATAACAATTTAGTCTTAAATCTTGATATATTTTATTGAACCTAAAATTTCATTGTACCAATTAATAAATTCTTTTAGTAGTATTTTGGCCACCTAATTGAAAAACCTGGCCCCGCCCTTNCATTATCTTCTCATAGCATTTCTCTCCGTTGTCTTCTCACACAACACAAACATACACAAACACCCACGAGAGAGAGAACACACACACACATATATACACAGATCTATACAGATCTGTTGCAAAGAGAGAAAGAGAGAGGAAATGGGTTGTGTGAGATTTTCCAGATTCGATCTGTTGCAAAGAGTATACAGATANTTGGCATGAATGGTGGTTTATTTTGCACAGTAATCTCATGTGCCACTTATGACGTGGTATCACCAGTGTATTGTGTTTTACTCCGCCCGCTCTTCATCTCTCTCTCTCTCCGTATCTCATCTCTAATTTCAGTGACCTCAAAATCAAAATTGCTAAAGGAGTCACTTTTCATCATAAACTATAGATAAATTGAAGGTTTTCTTCCTTAGTGTTCTTGAGTTAGCAAGTGTGACAGTTATAGGGTTGTATATCCAGCCTATAATAACAAAACAATAATAATCCCCCACAGAGGCTAACAACAAATTATTCATTCCACTGGACTGGCCTATTTTACTCCAAACTCACAAAAACTTACTCAGAAGCTACTCTATGTGGGGTAAAGGGAGAACATTAAGATCCAATCTGTCACAAATTCTTCCCTTGATGAGGTCAATATGAAGGATATAACTCATCTAGTGTTAGTGAGAACCGTCATATAAATGCAACATAAATGTTTTGACACACTTTTCCCTTTTCCCCTAAATATAGCTGGATATAATCATACGGAAAGCAGATATATGCTGAGGTGGACCCAAGACCACATATGCAAATATTAGGGAACATTATGAAGGAGGAAGGAGAAGCGATGCACCACTTTCCTATGCTTTCTATTAACTCTTGTTTGAATTTCATTCTCAAATCTTTTGAAGCCAGGGGTAAGAACTGAATCCTTGAGTAGTTGGGGAAGGATTAGTGGGCAATATAGTTTTTTTCCCCAAAGGAAGGTATAATAAACTCTTCCTAGAAGCACTATTTGTTGGCCGCTCATTTTTCCGATCCCATCCCAGTCATTAGTGGTGACTACTGAATCGTCTAACTGAAGTGAAAAAGACCTCTTTTTTTTTTTTGGGGGGGGGGGGGGGATAGGAGGGGGCCGGAGTTTACATATTACTTGGTCAGCTGTGGGTTGGTGGGCTCTCATACTAGAGATGCATGTTTGGTTTTGTTGATGGGAAAGGAGCACTGGAAAATGATTGCGGAAAAGACTGGCTTGATGGATGCCAGTTTTGGTGTGGATCAAAACAGGTTTGCTTGGATTTGATATTATAGGGGTGTGAAGTTAAAGGCTGACAATGCAAAACTATCTTGTCTGTAAAAATTATTTCTCTGTCGGAAATATTAAAAATGGAAACAATATGTGTGTACCCGTTGAGTTTGATCCCTCAAGTCTTATAATTATATGGTTGGGTAGGATGATAGATTATTACTCTCATACCACATTGCAAATTAAGATATCAATTGCTGTCCATAACCTTGATCATCTCTGAACTTCAGGGATTCATATGTTGGCAACATCTCCCTTTTCTATGAAATGGAAGAGAAGCTTGAGCAGGTGTCTAATATTTTTGATTTTATGTTATTTTCATTTAGTTGTGTTACTCTACTAGTTCTTTGTACAATACTTTACGTCGCAATTTCAAGTGCAAGCATTGATTTATGGTGGTCCATAACACCTCTCTCTCTCTCTCTCTCTCTCTCTCTCTCTCTCTTATGGGTTTGAAGATGTTTCTTCCTCCTTTCTATTTCAGAGCAACAACATTGCCAGTATCTTGAAGTGGATGTATGTCCCAAACAAATTTGAAAGATTCTTACACTGGTTTATTTTCCAATGATGTTGATATATACAAGATCTTAGTTCAACTATGGCCGTGAAAAATATTTATTCCCTGCTGCCATGCCCCATCAATTTTTTTGTTTATCTATTTGAAAGTTTGAAATGGAAACATTTAATTCAATTTCTTTGCTTCTGTCCTCTCTTTCATCTGTCTGCTTTGAGGAAGGATATCCCGTCCTTTGTCTAGTAAATTATTGTTTCTTATCACACATAGAACGAGTTCAGTCCCCTGGAGAAAGTTTTCAAAACGACTTTGATAACCTTGCATGTTTACAAAATCTTGTTTAGCTTAATTCCAGATTACTTGTCAAGAAAAATTATAGATTAAATCTCTTATCACCTTCGTCTACTTCTTTTTCACACAAAATTAGCTGCTCTACCATATGGATTTCTTGTTTGCTCTTGACCTTCATAGTACTATATGAATTCAGGGAGACAACATTGTTCTGATGTCAAACCATCAAAGTGAAGCAGATCCAGCTGTTATTCCTTTGCTGCTTGAAACAACAAATCCAAACATTGCTGAGAATTTGGTGACAATGATATTTCTTTTCATCGAGCCTATTCTTATGATTGTGCTGTCCATTTGAAATTGACTGCCTCACCAATATCTAAATACTATCAAGCAGACCTATGTGGCTGGAGATAGAGTTATAACAGATCCTCTTTGCAAGCCTTTCAGCATGGGAAGGTGCTCATAAAGCTTCTTGATCTGCAGTAAAAGTGCTTATATGATGTATTTTTCCTATTTCTTGTTAATATATTTTTCCTATTTCGTATCATCTTAGGAATCTCTTATGTGTGTATTCCAAAAAGCATATGAATGACGTTCCAGAACTTGCTGAGATGAAGAGAAAAGCAAATACAAGAAGTTTAAAGGAAATGGCATTGCTCCTGAGGTACATCTACACTATGCGTTCTTTTGCTCATGTTTTTCTTAGAGTTTTAGGGTCATAATATATTATTGTGCTGGCTTTCTTCTTTTGAGTTAGCCACCTATGTAGTAGAAAACTGAAGTGATACCTCTTGTGCACCCATAAAGTCANCCTTCTTTTGAGTTTATTTAATTGGATACTTAAAAAAGCAACTTAAGCAATCACTTTGAAGGTTTGAAGTGTATAAATGAATCTGTCAAACAGATGGCAAACGACTTTAATCTCACGCAGGCCTATATTTCAGCTGCTAATAAGGGGTCTGGGACGCCAGAGATCAAGACTGGGGCGTTGTTTAGCCACCTATGTAGTAGAAAACTGAAGTGATACCTCTTGTGCACCCATAAAGTCAAATTGAATTTGGTAACACTAACAAATTTCCTTGAGTGTTAAGAGTGTCGATTGGCATATGAAATACATTAATTTTCTTTTACGGGTAGANCAAATTGAATTTGGTAACACTAACAAATTTCCTTGAGTGTTAAGAGTGTCGATTGGCATATGAAATACATTAATTTTCTTTTACGGGTAGATAGTAGGGGAAAAAAGTTGTATCCTGTGCTGACACCATGGAGAAAACCAGCCACATGAGACAGGAATGGGGTATATTCTGTAGCACAGAGCAGTATTCTCTCCTAACCTTTTCGTCCTTGGCCAATGTTCCTATCCACTATATCCTTATGTCCTTGTGAGGATTGCTGAAAATATACAGAGATTCTGGATATATTTTATGAGGATACCGTGCAGTTGGGTATGGATGATTTGCAAAATCACCAATTGGTTAACTGGGATATCTCTTGTCCTTTTAGACAAAGGACCTCATTTACTAATTCCTCCTTTTGTGACTAGACAAAGAAATGAAGCTGCATTGTGTTAAAATGTGAATTTGAAGCATTCTTCAAGGAAACTATTCTGTTCGATTAATGGTTTGTTTTGTGCTTAAATGTTTACTTCCACCTCTTTCTGCTCTTTTCTGTTAATTGATTACTTGTACTCCATGCATCTCTATGGTAATCAATTAGTTTGTTGGTGCTTCAAAAATGCTTAATCTGCATAAAGATGTTTTATGAATATATTTGTACTCGATGCCTAGGGAGGGATCAAATATAATATGGATTGCACCAAGTGGTGGAAGGGATCGCCCAGACCCTGTCACAAAAGAATGGTATCCGGTATGGTTTCTTCCTTGTTTACCTTTTGGAAAAAAAAAAAAGAAAAAAGAAACACTTCCTTTGAAAACTGCAATTCTGTGGTGTTATATCATATCCTTGTCAATGGGTATAAGTTGTTCTAACAATAATTCCATGCCATGTTATATTGATACTGCAGAAGATATGATATATGTTGAACATGATAAAATATGAGTGGGATATGCTATAGTCAAGTCACATGCTCTTGGATGCTGTCAAAACAGGCGTTTTTATTATAGAAGTAAAATATAATTGTGTGAAAGATTGCAAAGCACGGATAAAAGAGCTTCAAGGACTGAAAAGGGGTGAGAAAGAAAGAAGTGACTTCCAGTGGGCTCAAAAGCAGGCAAAAAAGAGAGTCTTTCTTAAGTGATTTCAATAGACTTCTATGTCTTGCCCGATTACTGTGTTCTTCCATCCAGGAAATGAGCTCCTTAATAGGTATCAAACTTAGGGCTATTCCTCTCCCACATCATGTCAATCTACTTTGACAAACAGGTGTCTCCAACCAGGCAGAAAGATAATGAATTTCGTTTTCATGATGGCATTCGTATTTTAGCCAGATTTGAGTGTGGAAACATGTCCCTTTCCTTGTGTCCCTGACTGGGAAGATGATGATTATTTCCATTCTGTTCCAGCTACTTAACCCTGATATATTATCAAAGTTAATTGTATATGATTAGACGAATGGATTGTATCACTTGCTGCATTATGTTTTCCTTTTATACCATTAGGATTATTTTTTGGGAACTATTAAATAATGGCCTCTGATTCCTGTGGCTGCATGAGGTTTGCTATTGTAAACATTGGTGGTAGCGATTGTATTTGTTACTTCTTTTTTTTCTCTATTTATGACTTTCAGCGATTGTTTTACAACATCATAGGGTGTGACTCTTGTTCTTGTGGTTTGATTAGCCAATCCCGTCTTTATTCTATTGTGCTGTGATGCAAGTTCAGGCACCTTTTGATTCTTCTTCGGTGGACAATATGAGAAGGCTTACAGAGCATGCTGGTGTTCCTGGTCATATATATCCCTTCGCAATATTGTGCTATGACATTATGCCCCCTCCACCCCAGGTATGTTCTTTCTACTGATTGACTTCATTTATTTCTTTTCTCACAACAAAATCGATCTTCACAGGTAGAAAAAGAAATAGGAGAGAAACGAGTGATGTCCTTTCACGGGACTGGAATATCAGTGGCACCCAAAATCAGTTTCGATGAAATCGCTGCTGCTTGTGGCAACACTGAAGAGGTTAGTTATATATAATATGCTGCTCACCCATCCTCATGGGTCCAATATACTCTTTCTTGAACTTACATTTATCATTTTTGAGATTTGTGCCACTTTTCCTTCTTTGAATTGGGAGAAGGTCATCTCCCATCAAAGTGAAGTAAACTAAATAAATAAGGCCCTAGGAATTTGAAAAGTGATAATGAAAAAGGTAAAGATACAGTTTTAACATGCAATTTTCAGTGTTTTATTAGTTTTTTTTTTTGTAATTACTAGTCAGAAAGAACATCGGGATGTAATTTAGAATCTTTTTATGTTCTGTGTTTCGCTGGTGAACAATGCCAGATCATGAATTGCAAAAACTGTTCAATAATCCCAAAACTGATTCTTCCATTACAAGACCCTAAATATAGGTGCCACCTAAAATGTCCCACTTGAAAATTCATGTACTTTTATTCGATTTTGTAGTTTCCATCACTAGGTCTCAAGCCACATCAAACAAATTGTGGAGTTCAACTTGGTTGTCTAAGGTCAATTTTGTTTCTTAGTTTTTAATATTTTTGCACGGCTTCAAATTTAAATGGGTTGTCCTGAAAGATGTGTCTGCTTGCTCTCTTGGCGTATTATTTATGAGATCTTGGGTTGAGCACAAGGAGTTTATCTCATCACTTTTCGTCACCCTTTTCTTCCATATGACAAAATCGAAAACATCTAAGTTGCATTGGTTGGTGTCCAAGAGCTAGGAATACATTTCAGACATGGAGCCATTGGCATTTGGTCAGACTGCATGTGCTCCGTAGGCGTCTATCCACTCAAATGATTAGGATCACCCAAGGTTGGTCGATATGCTTGCGGCGTCTCTCCACTCATTGTCAATTGGTTTTGAGTTGGATGCACTGAAAGTACTCAACTTTGGCTTAAGAGAGTTGTTTCTTTGTGTCGTCGTTCTGACATAACTTTTTTGGTTATTAGTTGTCCTAGCTGCAGTACTGCCCATGTTAACCTCGATCACTAATTTTTGCTTTGCTTGCCAAGCATTTAGTTCCGGGGCATTTCCTACTATTACTCTGGAATATGGACAAATGCTCTTCATTTCAATGAGTTTGCTGAATTACGCATGTTTATACTATTAAATATAACAATTAGTTTTTTGGAGAGAAGGAGGCCTTCTCTCTCCCTTTTGTCAATTCTTAGAATCTTGATATATTTCTCTAACTAACTTCTCTGTGATGGGGTTGGAGAGAAGGGAGAGGAAAGGAGGAGTGGGAGGGGACAGGAATGGGGATCTAAACCATTTTTATTTCTAATAGATGGTTTTCCTGTTGTAGGCTAAGGTAGCATATACACAGGCTCTGTTTGATTCTGTCAACCAGCAATACACCGTGCTAAACTCCGCCATACATGGCAGAAAAGGTCTAAAGGCATCTACTCCAACTGTCTCCTTGTCACAATCATGGCTCTAGTGAACTAATTGTACCTTTTCCATACCCTGCTACTTTGTAATCAGGTATTTTTTTTATCCCTCGTGACTTTACTTGAAAGTTAGGTTTAAGAAGACAACCGTGCATATATTTGCCTTCTTGTGGAGTGAAATTGGCATGCTTTAATTACCTTTTTTTTGCATGGAATTTTGGCCAATATGTGAAAATAGATCCAGTTGACCTGCTTCCCGCTCTCGTTTTCAAAACCTGGAAGCATAGAAGTCACACACTTGGATCAATGGAAGAGCTAAAGAGCTGGAATTTGGCATGATATATATTGCAGACAAATCTTTTGACACGACTGTATAGCTCCTCGACTTGAAGTCCGTTTTACCATTCAATCTAAAGAATGTATAGAAAGGCTTGATGCTTTCTGCTCATATTGCTACTTAACAGTGAGGTGTGCCTCTTTCATTAAGGTTTTACCGTACTCACTTTTTGACAAAGATGAATCCACCAGAAGTCGGGGTTTTTCCAAAGATTTATCTGAGGTAAGCTCTGTACAGTTTTTTTCTTAGTTTCTATGAATAGTCAATCTAGTCATAAATAAGCAATCTACATGTAAATTGTATCAATTTTTGTTTTCAAGATTTTCTTTTCTTTTCTTTTTTGAATATGAATATTCTCTAACTTGTTTTATTTTATTTTATTTTCTCTTTTGTGAAAAGCTTACTAGATTATTTTATGTATAATAATTCTGAAAACCATAAAAGTTCGGTTTGGCCCTAAGAACTTTGTTGGGATATGGTTCGGGCTTGCCTGTCCAATGTACAGCACTCGAGCTGTTGTCGAACAATTCATGAGGCCCAAGACTAGCTCACTATGATGTCTGGAAGAAAATAATTGAAGAATCCATAATACTGACTAGGTGACAGTCCAATGGATAAGAGTTCATCCCGCGCTAGTGGTACTGGGTTGAGTGTTATATGATGGGTGTTAGTAGGAGGTAGCAGAACAACCCAGGCGCATTTTTTTTTTTTTTTTAAGAAGCCTGCCCCAAGAATTTCTCTAGAATGGACATCTTGAAGATGCATTTTTTTACAAGTTCAAATTTTTTTGGATACTAAACGGTCTTATCTCTTAGAAAAATGCTTGCATCTNGAAGATGCATTTTTTTACTAGTTCAAATTTTTTTGGATACTAAACGGTCTTATCTCTTAGAAAAATGCTTGCATCTACGGAATGGATTTTTGTGTTGTTCCACGATATCAATTATCCGATTGCTCTGTTTGGTAGGATGGATGAAATGTAGAAAGGATAGAATATATTTTCTATCATTAAAGAAAGAAAAGTAGGAGTGATACACTTTTTTTTCCTTGTGTTTGGTTGGATGGATGAAAAATAAAAATGATTAATTTTTTTTTTTTTTTTTTGTGTTGGTTAAGATCAGGGGTGACAATCGAGTCAGATTAGTATCGAGTCATTATTGGTTTATGTCGAACATTAGTCACATCTAATTCAACTCATTTAACTAATTATGTCGTGTCAAGTAACGAGTTGATCTGTTTATTTTCATATCATGTTGTGCTCAAGTTAATCAAGTTCATATCATAAAATTCGTGTCGAGTTCAAGTTTTGTCATCTTGTTAGTCAAAAAATTTCACCCCTAATTAAGAAAGGAAAATATTTTTTTAATTTAAAATTTTTAATTTTTAATTTTTAAATTTATTTTTAAAATTATATATATATATATATATATATATATATATATATATATANGAAAATATTTTTTTAATTTAAAATTTAAAATTTTTAAATTTATTTTTAAAATTATATATATATATATATATATATACATATTTTATCATTTCATTTTTATATGAAATTAATGTATACATAATATATGTATATATAAAAAGATATATAGACATATAAGATATATCTCAACATAAATAATAAATTTTTCATCCACTTTTCTTTCGATTTTAAAGGGATTGATTTTGGTAAGTTAGAAGGAAAGTTAATCCATTTATTTTTCTATCCTTCTTTACCAAAGATGATGTTTTATTTATCCTTCTAATTTTTTATCATTTCAACTTTTCATCTTTCCATTTTTCTATCGTACCAAACAGATCATAAGTCTAATGAATTAAACTAAGGATTAGGGTTATTACATTTTATCCTAAGCTTAAAGTTGCATTAAAGAACTCATGATATGATTTTATAGTTTGACCTCCTCCTTTTCTTGTCGCTTATAAATTTTGATCTTTAATATTTGATGACCATAGAATTAGGTTGAGATTATATAAAATTTTATAGAATCAATTAATTACAAAAATAATTCTAACAATTTTTCTATTTTGTAATTTTGTGATAAAAATACAAGAGTAAAAAATTTAAGGTTACAACTCAGAAAACGAAATTTGGCTCAGTTCTTGGTTTCGTCTCCAGGGTTCTACGATTAGGGTTAAAATTAGAGTTTAATGCAGGAAGAATGCGATTTAATGAATTGGAATCGGGTTCAAATTGGTTTCTGAAAATTCCAGACTTTAGCCCGAATGTAGCTTGACTTTTAAACCGGCTATCCGACCATCTATGGACAAAATTGAAAAAAAAAAAAAAAAATCTGCAAAGGGGTGAGGCTCACGTGGTAAGAAGAAAAATCAATGAACTGTCCTTCGAATCTGGCTCAAAACTTTTACCCAGACAAAAATGTCTTGTGCCATAAATAACTTACAACTTTGCCTATGTTCCCCCTCTTTTTTGATATTTGTTTCTTATGCCCTGGGAAGATCACAAGCCCTTTACCCACAGCATCTTTTCAATTTTATATTTTTTTTTGTTCAATGATTAGAATTGTCTGAATAAGTTTATGCACACCTTGACTAATTTTCTCTTCGATCTGATCAAAAACATGTCATTTACGACAAGACTAGCAGTGTCAATGAAAGCTATGAAGCACCCCTTCAAGTTTCATATTGATATTGAGTTCCATATTCGGCTACGAATACTTCAGATGTAGAGACAGATCCAAAACTATTTGATTGAAATCGAATAGTTATAATAGATCTATTTACAGATTAGAACTTCGTTTCAGGTACACTCATTTGAGTAGTAACTGTTCCTAAGTCGGTAGGTCTCGTTCAAAAGTCACTTTAGTAAATGTGCATCAATCAATGTGCTCGGTGATGATGACCTGACTCCAAGAGATTTATAATTTATTTGCGCCAATTTGTCTTTTCAATTTGTTTACGCCACCAAAAAGAAAGAAAACACACTTTCCTTTATGTTCTTCTGTCTGTTTTGATTGATAATAACAAGAAGAGGAGGCCAATAACAAAGAGACTCTTCACTCTAAAACATAGACTGTACATCTCTCTCTTGTCCCCATGAATGGCTGATAGGGCACCTTGTCAAGGCATGCCATTGTTTTGTGTACTTGAATTAGTAGATTAATGTTGTGTGCACGAGGTTATAGAATCATCTCACATTCTAATGAACAGAACAGTGCACTTAGTATAGTTTTTGAGATCGTATAAGTATCAATATTATAATATGTAAAATTATCGGGTTTGCCACTGGTGTCGTTGCACTATTACAACTAAGAAATCTTTAGATTCCCAATTTGGATTATAGCTTCAATACCCCCTCCCCCCCTTGGTAATATATTAAAGTTCTTGAGGAATTTAAAATCAATAGAAAAATCTTTAACTAGTNCCCTCGGTAATATATTAAAGTTCTTGAGGAATTTAAAATCAATAGAAAAATCTTTAACTAGTTAAATAGGTTGTAAGTCATGATGCGAGGTGTTTACGAAAACATAAATAGTACAATACTCATGAGAATATCAATCATTTTCAATATACTTTTCTTTAATTATTTTCAATGGCACTATGAGTTTAAGAATGACTGACTAGTACATGTGGGTTATCTACCCTTATATTGTTGATTATCTATTATCTAAAAATTAATAGGCTATTTGATAGGATTGAAAATTGGGTGGATGGAAAAGTGAGAGGAAAAAATAATTTTTCATCCTTGATTTGAAAGGAAAATTGGATGAAAAGAAAATTTGAATGAATTTTTTTTTTTCATTGGGCCCACCATTTTGAATCCGCCCAAAAGTGGGTTGCCAGCTAGATTCTTGTTTAGTTATTCATTTTTATACATTTACTTGAATATTTTTATTAGAGGATAATTCAAACTCAATCCAAGTTGTAAAATTGTTAAATCTAGACTTTCAATCGAAATACTATAATCGAGTAATCTCCAAGTTAATTTTAGATTGGTATGGGTTAATTAATTCGGACTCATAATTCATGTTCAATTTTGGAATAAATTTTGGGTGTGAAAAAAAATTCAAGAAAAACACTTTACATTATATATATATATATATATATTTCGGTCTGGGTTTGGGTTGAACCCGTGAACTCAAAACCTCAACTCGAATATGGTTCGAATTCAATGGTTTTTCTTTCCATGTTTTAAAAACTTTAATCCAAGTTCTATTTTTTTGGATTGAGCTTAGATTAACCTATCTAAATTACACCCCTAATCTTTATGACCATTGTTCAATTACCATGAACATAAAGGCACAATTTTATAATGTTCTTTCAACTAAACTTTGGTAACCCATGCAATCATCTCAACATTGAATTTTTTTGTGGATAAGACAAAATTACACATGCTACTTTTTTTTCCTTTTCAATTCTTCTTAGCTTTACTAAAAANTCAAACTCAATCCAAGTTGTAAAATTGTTAAATCTAGACTTTCAATCGAAATACTATAATCGAGTATTCTCCAAGTTAATTTTAGATTGGTATGGGTTAATTAATTCGGACTCAGAATTCATGTTCAATTTTGGAATAAATTTTGGGTGTGAAAAAAAATTCAAGAAAAACACTTTACATTATATATATATATATTTCTGTCTGGGTTTGGGTTGAACCCGTGAACTCAAAACCTCAACTCGAATATGGTTCGAATTCAATGGTTTTTCTTTCCATGTTTTAAAAACTTTAATCCAAGTTCTATTTTTTTGGATTGAGCTTAGATTAACCTATCTAAATTACACCCCTAATCTTTATGACCATTGTTCAATTACCATGAACATAAAGGCACAATTTTATAATGTTCTTTCAACTAAACTTTGGTAACCCATGCAATCATCTCAACATTGAATTTTTTTGTGGATAAGACAAAATTACACATGCTACTTTTTTTTCCTTTTCAATTCTTCTTAGCTTTACTAAAAAATAATGGTAAATTAAATTTATATATGAGGGCATAATAGTAAATTATCTTTATATATTTTTTGTTTTCCTTTATTTTTCTTCTTCTTATATCAAACAATAAAAAAATCTATCCCTCTAACTTAACATCAATCATACCAAACACAATGAAAAAAAAATATTGTTTCCTTCCTCTATAGATGAAAAGTTTATCTATCTTATTTTCTATCCTCCCTATTTTTTTTATCCTTTTTATCAAACATAAAGCCAAATTATTTATGAATTTCACCTATAAGAGAGTAGTGAAGACAATGACATATAAACCATTTATTTATTTTGGTAATCTGATATAAGCATTTGAGAAATTACTCATATTATTGAATTTAATTATAGAATCCAAATCTTCTTCAGTACATTTTCTCTTCAATTCATTCCTTAACACGTAATCTACCATTTATGAGTGAGGGATCCACTTGTATATAATGAGATTCACTTGAATGTATAATGAATAATGTGTCAAGAAGAAAATTTAAAAATATATATATATTATAGAGAATCTCAGTTGCTTATCATTATAAAAACATAATAAAAAAAATTATATAACTTCTCCCACCCAATTTCCCACTAATCTTAATTATTNATTATAGAGAATCTCAGTCGCTTATCATTATAAAAACATAACAAAAATAATAAAAAAAATTATATAACTTCTCCCACCCAATTTCCCACTAATCTTAATTATTNTACGATAATTAATATCAGAGTTTGACAAAATAATCAGAACAAATTTAAACATCCTATAACTAAAAAAATAAATTGCTTCGAAAAAACACCATCTAGGAGTGACATTTTATCAATTTGTCGTTATTCACTGTAAGCGTAATTAATAATTATGCAAAAACACACGCTTTGTGACATTATGTGTTGAGTTNTTCATAAAATTGAGATATCAATAATATTTAAATCTATTAAAGGATCTAATTAATCTCTCGAGATAATCTAAATTTATGTGTAGATAAATTATTCAAAATAGATTTGATATTAAGAGCTCCGAGCTCTAGCCCTCGTGGTCATTAAGATATACCCTCGGGGCTCACAATTATTCATTGGTTTAAGCCAATCCACTCACAATTATGTATTAAAATTTGATGTTGATTCAATAGTTCCCATAAAATTACATTATTTTGTCAACAAATTTTTAAATTCAAATAGTATTACTCTATTGCTTTTTCAATCTTTTATTCTTGGGGTACAAAAATAAATTTGCATCGGTGCATGTGACAACACACCAGTGGCCATAAACNGCACGATTATGCATTGAAATTTGATGTTGATTCAATAGTTCCTATAAAATTACATTATTTTGTTAACAAATTTTTAAATTCAAATAGTATTACTGTCTTGCTTTTTCAATCTCTTATTCTTGGGGGTACAAAAATAAATTTGCATCGGTGCATGTGACAACACACCAGTGGCCATAAACNTATGTGTGATGATGTGGTTACACCTACTATATATGATATAAAATCCAAACTAGATGCATTTCAAACTAAATATGGTGAGAAAATGACTAATATTCTCTCTCTCCAAACTAGATGCATTTCAAAGTAAATGTGGTGAGAAAATGATTAATATTCTCTCTCTCTCTCTCTCTCTCTCTCTCTCCACATGNACGCAAGATTATCTCCAAACTGGCATTTTGAGCATAGGACCAGCCCCATGTTTACACGTGGCAATAGAAGGAAGAGAGACACATCAAGTCGTAATGGTCATGAGATGCATAATATCTAAGACGGGAATATAGTTGGTAAGTTGATCAATACAAAATGGGCCCCTTTTTCGTAGTGATCTACTGGACCCAATATCACTAAAGATTTTCTCAAAGTCAAAGCCCAAATCATTATGATCCAACACATCAAAGCTAAGACCTGACATTGGACCGGTGGGCCCACGTGCCTCTCACGGGGTGAACTGAAGTGAGAGTGCAGCGTTGAGGTAGGAGATGCAGATGCAGCAGACAGAAACCCACTTGTTGGAGTCAGGTTGGGAAGTTGTGGGACCCCATTTTTGGAGCGTTTGGAAACAGATTCAGGTCTGTCCGTAAGGTCAATTGGCTGTGTTCCAGATAAGATAAGATTGGACGTAGCGAGGAGGAGTTCTGTTTGGAACGGAAGCCCAGTGGCCCACTTCGGGGATTTGGTAAGACTCACTGGTTTTGGACAATTAGAAGACCACTCAACCCTACCCTCTTACAAGTGATCTTACGGTTGATACTTCCCGTATTTCTTAACGATCAATCATCTTTATTCTTCGGAAAATATATATTTTTAAATTAGTTTGAACTACGATAATTAATATCAGAGTTTGACAAAATAATCAGAACAAATTTAAACATCCTATAACTAAAAAAATAAATTGCTTCGAAAAAACACCATCTAGGAGTGACATTTTATCAATTTGTCGTTATTCACTGTAAGCGTAATTAATAATTATGCAAAAACACACGCTTTGTGACATTATGTGTTGAGTTAAAATTAGTGAGACAATCTCTCTATATTTAAAGTTAATGTTACGTAGATTTGGTCATTTTCAAACCTTGCAAAAATAGAAATTTTGTGAACTAACGACCATTTTAAAAGATATAGGGTACATTTTTTTTAACTCAAAAATGTAACATTTATGTAATGATTAGAGATGATAAAGGCTCGTATGTCAATAAGAAGGATGTCGATGATTAATTCTGCTAACGTATATAAAATGAAATTTTTCACAAGTTAATATCTTGAAGTCGGAGAATCCAAGATAAAATGTGTTAACATTTGTATTCAATCTAACTAATTTGTTTGATCTTTTGAGTAAGCAACATATGTGTGATGATGTGGTTACACCTACTATATATGATATAAAATCCAAACTAGATGCATTTCAAACTAAATATGGTGATAAAATGACTAATATTCTCTCTCTCCAAACTAGATGCATTTCAAAGTAAATGTGGTGAGAAAATGATTAATATTCTCTCTCTCTCTCTCTCTCTCTCCACATGCACACACCCGCCAACAAAGAAGTCTTTGAAGTATCTCTAAGAAATTTTTTGAGAGAGTTTTGGTTGTCTTGAGAGGATAAGCTAATTAGGAATTTAGAATCATTATGTAGTATCATAAACATTCCTTAATTGAAAAGGGAAAGGAAAAAAAAAGAAGAATAAAGAAAAGGGAAAAGGGAATTCTAGAGAAACAAATAAGTAGATGCAAAAGTTTTTTTGAACTTTGCTCAAGTGAGGTGTGTGTAATTGGATGTTGTTCTAGAAATGGTGCCTCACTTTTAATTTTCAAAACCATTGCCATACAAGGTGTACATGTGCTCTGTGGTGCTCTTATCAATGGGCTTGTCTTATTCTAACCATGTACCCAACAATCATAAGTTGTTTCTGTATTGAATTCCTTTTGCCACATACATTACATATGCATATATGCAAAGTGTAGGTAATGAATTTTATAACTTTTGGCTAAATATACTTATGTGATGTGTCTATGTTTTGTAATTTTGAATTATCTCAATTTAATTTTTAAACTCTTAAAATTATTTCAAAGGTTGATTTTCATTCAATTCAGGTGTTAAAACATGATAAAAAAAAAGTGTTAAAACCAAAAGTATTCGTGAAATTATATACATCTATTAAAAACTTTAACGATTTGATAACCATTTACCTGCATATATAAAATTTTAATTTTTTTAGCTGCGTCGGTTAATTTTTTTTGGGTAGGATTCATTTTTTATTACCGGAAAAGTCATTTTGGAAGGCCAAACATCAACGTCCATAAATTTAGGGAGTAGCTCAAGTAATAATATAGATGAATTATAATNAGATTCATTTTTTATTACCGAAAAAGTCATTTTGGAAGGCCAAACATCAACGTCAATAAATTTAGGGAGTAGCTCAAGTAATAATATAGATGAATTATAATCCAAACGTTTATATGTTGACAATTTTTTGGAGTCAAACTTTGAAAATTTTATTTTTTTTGAATATTTTANGGATTCATTTTTTATTACCGGAAAAGTCATTTTGGAAGGCCAAACATCAACGTCCATAAATTTAGGGAGTAGCTCAAGTAATAATATAGATGAATTATAATCCAAACGTTTATATGTTGACAATTTTTTGGAGTCAAACTTTGAAAATTTTATTTTTTTTGAATATTTTAATTTTGATGTGAATTTTAACTAAATAAAAAAAATTAATTAAAATACTCATAAGGATGATTCAAACAGCCCGACAGTTGGAAAAAAAAAAAAAATCAACACTAGCAGGCTGAGTATCTTTGTACACACAAAGTGATTTGGCATAAATGTCCGTCGAGTGGCTGTGTATGTCTTTTATGTAGTTGAACTTGGCTTGAGAGAGTGACATATTTGGCCCCCACACTGTCAAAACTGACACATAATATGAAGTTATGAATCTCAGTTCTTGAAGTTAAGGCACAGTGTACCTCTCTCTCTCTCTCTCCCCCCCTCTCTCTCCTGCCACCCTTCACAATGCACTCCACAGCACCCACAACGCCTTAACACCTTCTCGCAGACATGATCTCATCTTACACAGATTTAGCCAAACATTCAGAGTACAAAACCCTAGAAAACTCCAACTCTTAACCACCTCTCTGNGAAAAAAAAAAAAAATCAACACTAGCAGGCTGAGTATCTTTGTACACACAAAGTGATTTGGCATAAATGTCCGTCGAGTGGCTGTGTATGTCTTTTATGTAGTTGAACTTGGCTTGAGAGAGTGACATATTTGGCCCCCACACTGTCAAAACTGACACATAATATGAAGTTATGAATCTCAGTTCTTGAAGTTAAGGCACAGTGTACCTCTCTCTCTCTCTCTCTCCCCCCCCTCTCTCTCCTGCCACCCTTCACAATGCACTCCACAGCACCCACAACGCCTTAACACCTTCTCGCAGACATGATCTCATCTTACACAGATTTAGCCAAACATTCAGAGTACAAAACCCTAGAAAACTCCAACTCTTAACCACCTCTCTGCAACTCTCTTTCTCTCTCTCCCCCTCTCTAGTCTCTTCATCATAGGCTCGAAAACCTTTCAGAAATCAGCTCATTCCCCACTTCCAAACAAACCCAGAAGCCCAATCAACCTCTCTCTCTCTCTCTGTCTCTCTCACTCTCTCTCTATCTCCAAAACAACACACACATGCATTCATGAGTTGGGTCTCCGGAGACCTTGTTCTTGGGGTGGTGCAAAATGGGTTGTCTCATCTCTCAACTGGCGGCGAAGTTTGCCTTCTTTCCACCGTCGCCGGCGACTTATCAGGTGAAGAAGCGCGAGGACGGGAGGCTCGCGGCGGTCTCGACGACGTCGTCGATGCCGATATCTTTGGATGATAGTTCTTTGGATGTGTTGTTGCTAGATACAAAGAGAGGCAACAAAATCGTTGCTTTCTATTTGAAGAACCATTATGCGAGGCTCACAGTTCTCTACTCTCATGGAAATGCGGCTGATCTGGGACAGCTCTATGACCTCTTTGTTCAGCTCAAAGCCAATCTCAGAGTCAATCTCATGGGGTCTGTTCTCGCATGTCTTCACTTGGATTTTGGTGTTTGTGTGTAGCTTTATTTAGATTTATTTATCCGTTGTTTTTCTATTTTTCCTTTTAGTCTCGTGGGTTTGAAGATTTTGTTTGGATTAGTGAAAGTTTTGATTTGAATATGGTGAAGCTCATAGATACTATGGTTTGTTAGATACGGGTCTCTCTCTCTAACTCTCTCTTTCTCTCTCTCTCAATGGGTTGGTAAAGGTCACTTTTTTCCTCCTTTCCTGTAAAAGTTTAGCTGGTTTCGGTGTTTATCTCTCTCTCTAGGTGTGTAGAGTGGATCTAATGGATTTTTGTCAGATTCATGATGTTTAAGTTTTAAGATTGTTTTTTATCCAAATTTTTTCTGTTTTTGGGTTTGGTAGGCTTAGATCTGTAAAATAATATAATTATGGCCTAATTTCATGTTTCTGCCTGATGAATCTAGGAGAATTCTGTCCGGTGGCTAATGGGCTTTCCTTTTTTAATATTAAAGAATTTATAAAGTAGTGTTGGTACAGTTCTCTCGTTGTTACCAGTTCTTTTACACCTTTTTTCATGTTTTTCATTTTTCGTTGCCTTTGTAAAAAGTGAATAATTTTACTGGTGACAGACAACCAGAAAATAAAAGGAAAAAATAGAGATTTTTACTACTGTGTTTTTTACTGGTGCCACATTGTTCAATTCCCTTCTTCAGAGTTGTACTGGTGGACTGTAATATTTATCTTTTACCCTCACATTATTGTAGTCCTGTATAATTGATTTGTATTGTCATTGCACTGTACTTGGTTCTGCAAATTCGCTTTATCCAACTTCTTCCGCATCTTTCAATGAATCTGTGGCTCTTCATAAATTCTGGAAGTTCGTCAATCAATTTTCTGTGCTAACTGATGAAGTTCATCAATTTTATTGGTGATATAATGATGAACTATTCTGAGTTTAGGTTTTACTTTTGGGTCTGACACTTTCTTTAGGTTCATTGCAATGCAATTACCCACTTTTTAAATTGTCTTTTTCTGCACTATCATCTAAGTAAATGAGTATCTTTTTGATCCTTTTCACCTCACCTTTTATTTGCAGATACGATTATTCCGGTTATGGAGCCTCTACTGGCAAGGTAGATTGCCATTTTCAGTCCCTTTAGATTAACTGTGCGACATTGTATCTTTGTGTTTCTGTTTTGAATACCAAGTTTTGTTCCTACTTCTTAATACCATGGTCTGCAGCCCTAGGCTGCTTTATGTGTTGTGCATTAAGGGAGAGAAATGTGCTGTTTAATATAGCCACCCCATATTGAAACTTTTTGCTTTTAGGAAGTAGGCAACTGAGTTGGGTCTTAATGACAAACATGACCACGAATGATTTGGTTGTCGTATGATGATGGTGACCCCGTGGTAGTGACAGAATACACAAGACATTAGTATTACTTCAGGTAAATTCAGGAAATTTGTATGAATTGGTGGCGAAGAATGGAAGGGCAAGGGCTCAGGAAACCAGTGAACTTATTTATGGAGGGAAAAGGGCTTATGGTATCATTCTATATTTGTTTAGAAATCAATGTAAAAATTGTCTTTTTTTGGCAAATGATGGAGTTATCATCCATTCATGGACCATGAACTTAAACAAATTAGAGGTGGGTTTTGAATGCTTTGATTTGGATAACTTTTGTCGCAATGATCGGGCTAGAATCAATTAGTAACAGTCTAGGAAAAACAACCTCTAAGTGGATGACTTTGGTGTATCATCCAATCAAGTTGTTTTTTCTTCTTTTTGCAAAGTTTTTACTGCTGACTGGAAAGTTTTAGACCTTTTGTCCTCGTGAATACTCAAACCGGCTTACCATTTTGGAATTCTTTACTCCTTGTGTTTCATTAATTCAGAAAGTTCTTAGTTTTTTTTCTTAATCAATGAAGTAATGCTATCCGTGTTTCTTTTTTTTTTTGTGATTCAGCCAAGTGAATACGATACCTATGCAGACATAGAGGCAGTATATGAGTGTCTTCAGACTGAATACGGAGTTAGCCAGGAAGACTTGATTCTGTATGGACAGTCAGTCGGAAGTGGACCAACACTGCACTTGGCAGCTCAGTTGCCAAGGCTGAGAGGCGTGGTTCTACATAGTGCTATTCTTTCTGGTCTTCGTGTGCTTTGCCATGTGAAGTTCACACTGTGTTTGGATATTTATAAGGTCAGTCGCTGGTTTTGTGAAAACCTGAGGTTTTCAACTTTCTGTTTAAAGAATCCTGTCAAATGGCTTTATTGGAATGGAAGTCCAATGGATGGTGTGCTAAAAGAGTTCAGATGTTTCTATCCCCCCTCCCCCCCCCCCC